CCTGTTGGCGAGATATGAGTGTCCCCAGCATCAAGACAAGCCAGCTCCTGGTACACATCAGCCACGCAGGACATGAAGCTACCACAGGACAGGGTCACCCCAACTCTGAAGCAGGACATCCCATCTTCCAGAGCTGGCTCTCTCCTCACCACCATGCCCTGCACCAGCTTTGCCCTTGGTAGCTGGGCTGCAGCTATCATTACCCTTTTAATGACGTGGTCTGTGCCATGAGGTCAGAGCCAAAGCCTGGGCACACTGCAGATCCCATTCAGAGCAGTGTCAGCACACGCTCTGCTTCATTTCAACAGCCTGGGCAGCACTAATGATGGGAAGAGGCTCTGTGCAGGGGCAGAAACACCCTGTTTCCCAGAGGAAAGCAATTCTTCTGCTGCAGGCAGCAGCCCAAGTGTCAGCGTAAGAGCTGTGACCCACTGAGGGACTCACTGATGCCTCTTGAGTCACTTCATGGACAATGTGAAACCCATGAAGAAGTGCAATGGCCTGGAGCAATTTGTTGGGTGTCTCTTCCATCTGGGATCGTAGACCTGCCTCTGCCAGCTTCACTTTGAACGCACATTGCAGGATATGGGCTGGAACACAACCATGGGGACACCAGGACACTGCCACAGTGGCTGCTGGAGCCAGGGCCACCCAGAGAGCTGCTGTGGACCTCTCAGATGAGGAGCTGCTGTGTGTTTTATTGAGCTTCACTCCACTCCACCATGGGCAGTGTGCGGGTCAGGGAAGCAGCCTGGCCCCAGAGCTGCCAGCCCAGGGCCCAGCATTCCAATCTTCACTTCCTGAAGGGGAGCAATGCTGGACCCTGACAGCAGATGCTGGGGCTGGGAGCAGTGTTTCACCTCTGCATCACAGGAAAACCATTCATCGCTCTCCACAACAATATCCAAGCTCTCCCAGCACCCTCTTCCATAAATCCCAGCAGGACCATCAGGGAGCATCTTCCTTTCAAAGCCAAAGCCTCTGATGGGAGCCCCTCAGCCAGTGCTTCTCCCCTTGAGGAAGGGTTTGCAGGCAGGACCCAAGCCTGCTTCTGGGACACCGCAAGTCCACCATCCCCTTCTGCAGCTTCTGCTTCCCAAGTGGTCACCAGAACAAAAACCACCCCATCTTCTCCACCAGGGCCCCTGCTCCTCCCTCCAACACAACCAAAGCTCATCAGGCTGCCTTGCAAAGCAAACAGTGGAAGAACAACATGTCCCAGACCCTTTCCTTCAGGAGCTTTAATGCGAGGGACAAGTCACCCTCTAGAGACAAGCACCATCAGAAAGAAAGGTGATGCTGGAGTGTAGCAGCCCAGGGAATGACCCTGCTTCCCTTGAGCCTCTACTCCTTCTGCAGTAACCAGTGATTCCAACAAAGCCCCAAACCATCAGAATTCAGTTCCTTTTCAAATTCCTCTCCATTAAGCTTTTAATCTTGTCATTAGCAACCTCCAAAGCCAGCAGCTCCTGTCCCCTGTCCCTCCAACACTCGCCACTACACGTAGCCAAGCAGCCCGGTGCCTATGGGACACAGAAAGCAGGGAGCCAGCCTCAGCTAAGGAACTGCTTGAATCCCATTTTCTACCAGGAATTGCCTTTAGAGAGACAATAAATGGGAGGTGAGAGACTGGCCCCAGTCCAGCAGCTGGGCTCGAGCCAGCACCGATCCCCAGCGAGGGCAGAGCTGGGAAGGGCAGATCCAAGCACAGATTTCAGCACAAACCAAGATTTCTTCCATGGAACTTTTCCCAGTCTGCAGAGGGTGAGGCTGGTGCATTGGAGGCTGCTGTGCCTGGAGCCATGAGACCTGCTCTGCTCATCTCCTGCACCCCAGATCACAGAGGCCACCAAAGACAAGGGGAGAAACACATCCTCATGCTGAGGAGGTGGCAGCCTGGGCTCATGTGGGGCTTCATTCCCTAGGGAGAGCTACATCCACACCTTTCTGACAGCTGAACAGTGCTCAGGCTCAGCCAGATTCAGTGAAATACTAAAGGAAATAAATAAGCAGAAGAAAAAAGCAAACTCACTTGAGGATATTTCAGCTCCTTCCTG